TTCTTCTCTTATCTATAGGCTTATCCTTAAGGTACACCTTATGGAAATTTTGTAGGACCCCTCCCCTAGTGCTTTGTGGAGCAGTTTAGAGACCTAATTTAGTTCAACACTCTAATCTCCTTTTTATAGATTGAGAAACTGACATTGGAAGAAACTTGCATAAGGTAACAACTCGAGTCAGTATCAAAACAGAGACAAGAATCCTAGTGTTCTCACTGCCAGTCCAGCTGTCAGTTCTATTCTCACATGAGATGATAGATGGGAAAATAATATATAAAGCACAAAACTTTAAACAGATTGTATTTATTATTATTAAAATAATAAACTCCTTGAATGTCAGAATAGGTAGAGATCATTTAATCCAACAATCTCATTTTACAGATGGGGAAGTTGACATCCAGAGAGCAAAATGTGCCTAACCAAGATTACACAATGATTCATCAATAAGAATGATGGAACTAAAACTCAAGTCAGTGTCCACTATATTCTCCGTATTTGCTGAACATTTCTTTATTACTTTGAAATCATTTTCATATTCATTATCTCATTGAGCCATTCTTCAAAGGAGAGAGGATATAGGTGATTACTTTTAATTTATATATCAAGAAACCCAAGATACAGATCGCCTGCTGATTTGAAAATGTATAGCCAAGTTTCAATCCAGGCTGCTAGATGCTTTTTATTTAACCACCACAACTGAGAAAATATTTCATTTGCATCTCTCCTGAACAATTTGCCTTGTTATGTTCTTAATCTACCTACTGTATCTTCAAAGTGACAGAGTAGTAAAAGTTGACTTCCTGGAGAGAGTGATGAAAAGAGAAGAACCTACTGTGTATTTCTTGATGCTCTTTAAAGTGGACAACAAAGATATTACCCCATTTAATTCTTGCCTAAACTCTTACAGATAGTAACTATTTCTATTTTAGAAATAAAGCTCAGTGATATTGAGTGAATCACATATAGTCACCAGCTAGTAAGTGGAAGAATCAGGATCAGAAGTCAGATCTGTATTACCTGAAATGTTGATGTCTGCCCTTGTCAGTATGATGTGTCCTCTCAAACAGGCTCTGGCCCTATGTTGGAAAAGACAGAGACAGTATGGTGCATAATAGTAAGAAGACCCCAGAGCAGGAAAGTAGAAGACTTGTGGACCAGCCCTGCTACCTCAATAAATCATTATGTGACTATGTGTATATCTCTACTTCTCTTTTAACCTGGTTTCACTGATCTATAACAAGAAGGGAATGTAGTATGCACTAAAAGAATATAGTCACCTAAGGAAAGTGGGTTCAGGAGTCTTCTATTCACCTATAATTTTTGCTGGGAGTCTTATAGTATACCCAAGTATGGCTCAAGGAGAAATGAAGCCAGCCTGCATTCCTATCTTGTTTTTCCAGTCTCAATTTTCCAGACCGGTGTTTTTCAACTGTTTTTATCTCTCAGCACACTTGAACCTATAGCTAAACTTCTGTGGCACAATTAAATTATGTTGATCAAAACAAAAAGAGTAAAAGAAAAATACACTTACTGTGCTTCGAAATTCTTTCAGAAATAATTTAATTAATGATCTTTAAAAATTTTTGCAGCACACCTAAGATGGATCCTCTCACAGCACACTCATTAAAAATCACTGTTTCAGACTCTAAGGGATTCCCTTGAAAAACAACAACACTACCCTACAGAAAGGAGAAGCTAAGTGCTTCTTCCCTGAGTGACCTTTGCAGATAGAAATCACCCCAAGGTCTATTTGAGATCATGTATCCTATGGACATAAAATTCTCTGGGGTTGAGGAAGTCTAGAACCTTTGGTCTAATTACTCAAGGGAACTCTTCCTTGAAAAGCTCTCTCGGCTCGGCGCCTGTGGCTCAAGTGGCTAAGGCGCCAGCCACATACACCTAAGGTGGCGGGTTCAAATCCCCAGCCCAGACCCGCCAAACAACAATGATGGCTGCAACCAAAAAATGGCCGGGCACTGTGGCGGGAGCCTGTAGTCCCAGCTACTTGGGAGGCGGAGGCAGGAGACTCGCTTGAGCCCAGGAGTTGGAGGTTGCTGTGAGCTGTCATGCTATGGCACTTCACCCAGGGGGATAGCTTGAGGCTCTGTCTCAAAAAAAAAAAAAAAAAAAAAAAAACCCACATGCTATGTGTATGTATTTGTATGTTTTGGTGTGTTGTATGCTTTATGTGGTCACTGATCACACATATATGCATATATACACAGATAATTCAGAAACCCACTCACATAGGCATGAATTCACAGCATGTTGTTTATCCCTGTGTTGCATATGGCTAGCAACATCAGTATCCTCTAAGGCTATTTTAAGCATCTTGATTTTGGAGCTGACATTAGAAAACAGACTAAATGACACCACATGTAAGAGACAATGTTACAGTTAAGTTGCTATCCTAAAAGGACAGAATAAACAAACCAACAAACAAAACAAGAGACTATTATTTTGGATAGTTTCTTCCTTACCAGTAGTACTTAAGCCCTTTATATAAGAGATTCTACAGTTACATTACAGATGAAATCCAGACAGCCTTTAAGATTTCTAGAGTTGAAAAAGATTTTAATGATTTTCCAATCCAACCCATTTTCTGTTATCAAAGTAGTCTGGAGGAGAAAAAGGACTTGTCCAAGGTCATCCAGTGAATTAGTGATAAGGCTGAACAAGAATCTAGATTTTTTGACTTCTCACCCAGTGCTCTTTTTCTTATCTATTAGTTGAATATTTTTGTTCAGTTGTATTGCCAACACCTAGCACAGTGCCTGACATATAATAGATGTTCAGTTAATGGTAAATTAATATGTAATGGCATTGGTTTACAGGAATGTAAACTTATTTCTGGGCATATCATAAAGAATATCTGTAATTTAAGTCACTTTGTTTTAGGCCCAGGAAAAACGATCTTAATTCCATATTGGAAAACAAACAATTTCATGCTTTTTCCACTGTAAACTATCTCATTCACAGGATGATTTTCTTTCAGAAGTGGAATCTAGAATTCCTCTGGGAGCCTTACTTCATTGGTTGGGCAACCATTCCTTGGAAGATTGGGGCCTAGGAACTAGTATTTTCTTGTGGAAGACGAGATCTCTCAAAGAAATCAAATATTAATACCTCCAATTTGAACTTATTCCAATAAGTGGTGTGACTAGTCTTGAGGAGTGTAGCAATGTCAATACCATTGGGCTGTTCCAATTCTAGAACACAGGCATCAATGGAATTGAACCCACTGAAATTGGATATAGGACCTGCCTTCCAAGAGCCATCCTTTCTGTGCACATATTGCAGGCCTCAGTTTGCAGCAGAAAAAAATCTATTAGCAAACTGTGTGTTCTACTTATGCAAATCAATATTACAGTATGGTAGAGGGGGTACTGACCTAGATGCCTTAATATTTGCATCTCTTAAAGGGGAATAAACAGAAAATAAAAAGAAAAGGAGAGAAGAAATTGGATTCCTTTACTATACTAACACCAATCCCACACTTTTGTGAGTAGCGCTTTAAGTAAAAGCAGCACTTTGTTAACCAGGTTACAACTGAATTTATCACACAAAATAACTCTATAATATATGTATTTCCATAGATGATTTGGACATTTTAGGCTTAGTAAATGGAGAGAAAAGCTGAGCTGTAGCTATATTTATGTTTTTTTCTTGCTATCAAATAGCAATCATTCTTTAGTTTTTCTTCCTCTTCCCACCACAAAAATTTCTGCCCTGCCAAAAGAAGCTTCACTAGAATCCTAGTCTATCCAGCAAACCAAAGCATAGCAGTAAATGTGAGAAAAAAAAAAATCCAGGGCTTGGAGAAGGAAAAGAGTGGAGTGAGGGGATGTATAAGCTCAGGTTGGAGATGGGCTGTGAGCATGAAAAGTAGTGCATGTTTCAGAACAGTCAGGGATGTATCTTTGTCTGTTCCTGCTGGTGACTCTTCATGTCCACACATCTCTCTTCTCCACTTCTCCATCCATGTTTATTGAGGGCCTACTGTGTGTGAGGCTTGTGCTAGGAACAAAAAAAAAGTATTGAACACACATATGTAGAGGGAAGTAAAGCTCAATGGAAATCAAGCAGAGGGGATTGGGGGAGGAGGAGAGGGGTAAAAAACCCACCTAATGGGTAAAATGAACACTACATGGGTGACAAGCACACTTATAACTGTAACTCAAGCATTATAAAAGTGATCTATGTAACCAAAAATATTTTTAACTCCATAATACTTTCAAATAATGAGTATGTGTATGTGTTTGAGTGGACTTTCACATCTTTCTTTGAGCAGCTGATCCTGAGGATATCTGAGTCTATGTGTGTACATATGTTTCTATGTATGTGTGACAACTCCAGGTATATATGACAGTGACCTTCATTCCTCTGCTGGCTTCAGACAACTTCTTTTTACTGGCTGTGGTTTATTAGCAAATAGTGGGTATTATCTCTGGTTGAGTTTTATAACATTCAAAATCAGGGGCATGATCACTAACAATTTAAAAACAGTTAGAAATCACATGATGTTCTGTTTTCTAGGAGTTTTACCTGTACTAGTTTTATGAAAAATAAGCATTTCATTAGCTCAAACACGATCCTATGTATGATTACAGGTGTCAGTAGGAAGAAAAATTGACCAATCTGAAGTTTCTGCTATACCATGATAAAGGAGTGACATTTTCTCATGGGCATTTCAGGTTTATTAAAACTAGAGTATTTTATTTTAAAAACCATTGAGCAGTCCTAATAATGGAGGAATCAACAGCACTGGCCTTGCTTATCCCTGCAAAAATATCTATGAAAATCAAATGATATATCACCAAATTAAACCAGCTTTTTTTTAATACATAGTAGATATATTCTGTGTGATCAAATTATTTGGAGCTATTATCTCTCATCTGGTAGGATATACTTTCATACATTTTCTTCCCTAGAAATACTCACAAAAAGAGACTCTATAAACATACTAACAGCTCTGTTTACTCTTGTATTTGTTCTTCCAGGGAAACAGAAGTACCTATGTGCCAGCAGAAATGACTGCACCATTGATAAATTCCGAAGGAAAAATTGTCCATCTTGTCGTCTCCGAAAATGCTATGAAGCAGGAATGACTCTGGGAGGTAAGATACTTTTTTTTTTTTCTCTCTTTCTCCTCCTCAATCTCTCTTCCCCTTCTTCCGTCATATCTAGTTCTCTCTTTCAACCATATTTTCATCTTTGATGCTTCCAATGGGGGCCAGCCATGCTCTAAATGCAGGCTGACCTTTTCATATCCAACATGGCCATCAGCTAGTTAGTGTCTTTTTTTAACCTTAACCATGCCACTTCCCACTCTGAGGCTCTGCATTAGAGCAAGAGGTGTACAGCAGGTATCAGAAGCAAGCAAACAGAGGGTGAATGAGTATGTACTTGATTCGACAAGGTTCCTAAGGGGACTTAATGGTACTGGCCTAATGTTCAATGGTAGCTAGAAGCTGGGATGAGGGAACAGAGGAATCCAGAACTGTCAACAGGTGCAGGATGACCCAGGCACAGGCTGGCCCCCAATATTAAGGAAAATCCCTTAGCTGACTGCTGCCTATGTTACATGGCCAGACACCTGGAATGAGAAGCTGCTTCTCTTTTGAGCCTGTGACTAGGCTGCCAAACAGAGCCAATTTCATATTCTACATCTCCCAGGGATGAACAAGTGTTTTAATCATTTCCTTTTCTTTATAAATCTATTGATCATTTCCAAAACCACTTTTTCAGCATCACAGTAGCTGATACAGTTCTTTCAAGGGCAGCCTTTTATCATAAAGCTCCCTGTTCTCTGAATCTGTGTCTAACATAAGCTTTGTCATCATTCCAGAAAAGCTTGACATCATTTGATTGACACTTATATTTTCCCTCTTCATATTCCTTATCTCTTCATATTTATAACTGCCCGATACTAGGGGCTTCCCTCCCACCTGCTGCTTCCAAAAAGATGCATCTTTCATGAACAGAGCAAACTCATTAGTCTACTTTGATTTGGAAATGTCATTTGAACAAAGCCAAGCCTATTTCTGAGTGCCTACAACTGAAGCCTCCTACTTGATTATTCATTATCAGCCTGGAAAACCAGACTGCCTAGATTCCAGGCCTCTCCTCTCTCCTGTCAAGACTAATTTAGAGCTTTGTCTATCTCTGGCTATCTGGGAGGTGCTCAATACCTTATCTGCCTATGTGCACATTTATAGACACCCATTTGTTTTTAACCCTGGAGCAGGGCCATGTGTGAGTCTTCATGTATATAACTCCCCTCTTTACAGGCCAGTAATATTCTTTAAACAGACCAAAGTATCTCAAATAACTTAACCGAGGCTCAATTGAAGACAATTTGAAAATAGTCATCTTAAGTAGTGTCTAGTCCTCCCAAATGTCACAGGCAAATTCTCTATTAGTGGCTTTCCAGGCAGCCACATCAAATGAGACTCAAGATCTATGAAAAATCAATGTTGTTTTTATTTGCTTGCTGTATTCTGAAGAAATCCAACAACTGTGGTCTATAGTGGGAAGAGAGAAGAAGCAGGACTGGAAAGGGGAAGTGCAGAGTGGAATGGAGGAAAGGTGACAAAGGTATTGACAAAAAAAATGTTTTCTCCATAGGAATGTTGCAACTCCAAGGGGAGAGTTCTCAAACTCTCCATTATTTAGCCCTTTGTGAATTATGTGTAAGAGTGGGGGCTCCTCAGGTAGAGAACCCCCATGACTTGTCATCTGCTGATATGATACTGAAAAAGTTCAATGGTAACAAAAGTCCTCATAACATTTGGGCCTAAATCTTAACATTAATTCCATGTCTCGGCCAACATCTTCCACTATTAGACTGTCTGTGACATGATTACAGTGAATCTTTTTAAGAGGAACTTAAAACTTTTTAAGAGAAACTTATCTCTTGTATATAAGAGATAATTTCACTATGCCATATAGTAGTCATATACAAGTTTATAAATTAATTTAATTGACAGAGTGGTACTGTAAGTTTTTTAATTGATTTATTGGGTAGAACACTGTAACTTGAGTGAGCTTGGTCAACAAAATGAAGACCAGACGAGAAATAGTGTGACTGGCTTTCCTTTCAGTTCCATTCCCACGGTATGTGGATAAGGTACCATGCTAGGCACTAGAGCTTCAGACTGGCAGACTTCAAGAAATGCTCACAAGATGCAAGGATTCCTGATGTTGTGTAAATGGCCTTGCCTTTGGAGTCAGGCAGACCTAGGTTATACGGCCACCTCCATTATTGACCATGTGCCCCTTCTGAGTCTCATTTTTTTGGTCTGTTATTCAAAGATATTGCTCTCAGAGAGTTATAATGAGGATCAAATGACATGATGAATGTGAATATCCTTGATAAATGATGATGTACTAGACAACCTGAGTTATTATGACAGTGAGATCACTAGCAATTTAGCTAGTAAGGCTGTTCACAGCACTTTCCAATGGTTTTTACCGTGAGTTACTTGGAATGTTTTATATTATGTAATAGCACCAATGGGCAAAGGATAACCAGAACTCATTCTTAAGTAGCTAAAACCAATGAGTACTGCGCAAATCCTGCTCAGAACTGATTTTATTAAGAGAATCATATGTTATATTCTAATACCATGTCAGTAAAAACACAAGTGTTTACCTTCTTAAACCACTGCTTGAGGAGCAAAACTTACCATTTTGATGAACTTATCTCCACTTTCCCTGCCCTCCTACTTCAATCTTCTTCCAAATTTATTGTTTACTTGTGAATTCTTTATACATCACACCTTTACTTGAACAATGGAAAAAAAGTAAGCAAACATTAGTAGGAGTGCCACTTGTGAGTATTTCACTGGTAGACTTCCATTCTTATAAGATTTGGGTTTAGGTTAGCACAGACATTTTGATCACCTTGAGGGAGAGTTCATATAATTGCATTTTCTTATTCCCATCACTCAAACTAAAATCATATAATATATTCCAAAATTGCAACTAAGAATGTGGCCATAGGCAAGTCCCTTCTCCTCTGTAAGGATCAGTTTTCCATCATTCAGTTGGAATAATGTGCTTCACCAAGGACCCTTCTGGTGATAACATTTTGTGATTTTTAAATATGAAACAACACCTGAAAGATTAAATTTCTCAGAACTTTCTTGGATTGTCTATCCCCTGCAAGGAGAAGTATAGATAGTCAAGACTTGTGTTCTTTGACTAACAGTAATTATAGCTACCTCCATTCACACTTACCTAAAATATATTGTATGTCCTAAATTAGACTGGATGGATAGATTATTGAGTGAGCAGAGACCAGAAGGGCTCTCTCTGCACCTTAAAGAAGCTGACACTTTAGGTCTTTAGGCCTCAAGATCTCTAATCTGGCTTTCTCTATAGTGTCCCATCCACTGTCTGGTAATGGAATCTCCTCAACTTACAGATACTTAATACATAAATCCCTTTCTTTCCCATTTCCAGACCTACCTATCCATTTCTTACTTTTCTTCCCAGGACCTCTTAGTGTTTCTGAAAGGATCTTGGGAGTGGTTGGAATCTCAGGATGGTTTCCTCAAAAACAGTCTCCAGGTTTGCAGCTGACCATTTATGACAAAGATAGGCTTTTGTATGTACATGATTTATTTCTGGCTACATTTAAAAACTACATATTTCTAATTGTTTCAAGAATTTAAATTCCTACTTTTCATTTAAGAAAACTCTTCTAATGTCTCAGATAAGGACCTTCCCTTGAGTGAATTAGCTATGGATTTTTCACAGCTCATAATAACAATAAATGTGCAGCCATCTATCACTTTTCTCAGCACTTTCTAAGGGTATGCTCCTACTTTCTAAGGTTGAATTAGAATGAAAGAATCACCCTTCCTGCCATCTACTCCTCTTACCCCTCCCTCCTTCCCATTTCTCTCCTATTTCTCCCCAAGCATTATTTATTTTTATTTTTTACAACTCTCAAGTTCTCAGATTTTAGTAAATATCATTGGCCCTTTTTGATTCCTTTCTCTCCTGCACCATAGGAAGTTATAGGTCTTTTACGAATTTCAGGCAGCAGCCAAACCCCAGAAGAGGAGAAAGAATAAAGATCCCCAAAGCATGTGAGAATCTGAAGTATGCAGCATTTTCTTCACAGGTTCCTGTAGCATATTTGAGAAGTCTCTTTCTTACCAGGAGACTAAATTTGGCATCTGAGAATCAAAACTTAACATGTATGCAGGGTCTAATAACCACTATGAATTCTCTATTCGGGAGGATAGCTCAGGGAGCCCCTACCCATGGTGTGATGTCATCAGGGACACTATGAACATCCTTGCAGTTTCCAGTGTTGAAGCCAGTCCTGATGCCAGCTGTCTCATCTTTCTTCATGCTGAAGAACGTCCCAGCAGTGCTACCTCTGGATCCCATGTCCTGGATGCAAGAGAGTGATTTTAATGCTGAAATACTGTTCATGTCACAGTTCTTCATAGCATTTATTCCTCTATCTCTCTTCCAACCAGCCAAGACTTTATTGTTTTCATCTTTTCATTTACTCATCTATGTCCATTTAGCAAACATTTACTGAGTGCCAAATATTTGTGAGACACTCTGCTAGGCATTTGGGGGAAGGAGAGCTTAATAAAATATATGCCCTATCCTTAAAAATTAAAAAAGGGAAGACAGACAGTGATAATGAATATACCTTCCAGGGATGAAGAACCTGTAGCCTTGGGGCCACATGTGTTTTTCTGGATCATTGAGTGCAGCTTTTCGGCTGAATCCAAATTTTTCAGAGCAAATATTTTTATTAAAAGGTATACAGCAAAGAAACATGAAGATTTTCTTGCCTCCTTTGGTTCTTAAAAAGAACCATCTTGAATTCAGAATGCTATAAGTTCCCAAATAGAAAATCACTCAGAAGAAGTTAAGTGAGTCGGAAGGAATAAGACATCCAAAGCATAAGGTACAGTTTGAATAAAGGCAGCAAGTGTTTGCATTGAGGATTTGAATAATAGCAAGCATTGAGGATTTGAAGAACAGCAAGTATGGCCAGAGCTAAAAAAAAAAAAAAAAAAAAAAAAAAAAATGGGAAAGGGAAACTAAAACCACATTGAAAATTAGCTTCATTATTATACTAAGA